ATTTACTTGCTTAGTTAAAATGAGCCAAAAATATAGGTTAAAAAAATCACAGTACACATATGAAGTGTACAATTTTTTGGGAGAGTGAGCAGTATGGCATTTTTAAGCAGTATAATTTTTCCTCTCTACACACACTAATATTACAGTGACTTTTGCCAAATAAAAACTTATCTACATAAGATGAACAACCAGCCATCCTTTATCAGTGGATAATTGAATCATTTGAGATTTTGTAAGGAAAGGCTTTCGGTTACATAGGCACATGCCCTACTAGTCACACAGCAAAGAACACTAGCTAGCTGTCTAAGTCAAGCTAGGAGGTAAGGTGGGAAGTAGCAGAATAATTGACACATTATTTGGACAAAGAGATTAAATTCAGCACTTTGAATTTGATCACAGAATGTCATGTGTGAATATACACCACATACCAAGCACCTCTGAGATACTCTCCTGCTAAAGTACTAACTACATTTTATTAAGGCACTACAAGAAATTATTATATGCTCAATAACATGACAGAGGTATGGAATTTACATGTAAGTCACTAAATTTACATTTAGACATTAAGTTCGCATTTGCAAGCAATAATGTTGAGAATCTAATGCTAATACAACTACATGTTGACTTGTAACGCATATTTCCAGTTCAACTTAGTATTTTACAAACTTTCGGGTTGTGTATCCAACAGAGTGGATATCTGCATTTGGCACAGAGAGTCCATAGTCAGAACTAAATCTGGTTTAGTTGTCTTAATTCTGCTGTATGCAAAGCACATCCTTTCACACAGATGCATGAACAAACAGTCTATTCTCAAGCCCAATGAAGCCTTTAGGACCTCTAGATGAGGTATAAACATGCGCAAATCAGACAGGAATAGGTGAGGAAGAGCATATACCAGAGCAGTTTCAAGAAAATGTATTAAGAATATTTTTGTATTCACTTTCTGTTTTTTTCACAGAATCACAGAATATGCCAAGTTAGAAGGGACCCACAAGGATCATCAAGTCCAGCTCATGGCCCTGCACAGGACCATACCCAAGAGTCAGACCATGTGCCTGAGAGTATCATCCAAATGGTTCTTTAACTCTCTCAGGCTTGGTGCCCTGACCACTTCTCTGGGGAATCTGTTCCAGTGTCCAACTACACTCTGAGGGAAGAACCTCTGTCCACCATCCAACCTAAACCTCCCCTGACACAACTTCAGGCCATTCCTCAGGTCCTGTCACTGGTCACCACAGAGAAGAGATCAGTATCTGTCCCCTCTCTTCCCCTCATGAGGAAGTTGTTCTTGATGGAGACATTCCAAAACCAGCTCCTCTTGAGAGGAGAAGTGCAGATTTGGCAGGTGGAGCAATCTGCATCAATGGCCTCAAACCTAGACACATCCATCTTGCATTGACAGCCTTGCACAGGATAAACCAGGATTATGCCCACTTTGTTGCTGGCCAGACCAACGAGATGCTGCAGGAAGTAACACAGGCAACTCTGTAAATAAGCCCTTCTCTCTGACTAAGAACAACCACAACTGTGGCTGCTTTGAGGCAGAAACAGCAACACAACCTTTTAAGCTGTGGTCATAATTCTCAAAAATACAGCCATACCCTTCCACTATGCAAGTCAACTGTATTCTCATCAAATCTTTCTAAATGTTTCCAACTGAAAAAGCTCTGGCAATAAAGGTGCAGTCAAAGAGAGGTTCTTTGGAAGGAAAAATCAGAGATTAAAGGATCCTGGATCCCTTCAGACCAGGGACTGGATAGTTAAAAAAACCCATGTATCAACATACTTGGGGTCACATTTTAAAAATGTAAAATCTTGGTGCAAAGACTTCCTCAGCAAACCAGAGACATTTCCAGATAAAAGAACAGAGGTCTGTGATAATATCATCATGGCAAATGAAACAGACCCAATGGATTCTGTTTATGTAAATGTAGCTACTTCTGACAACAAATAAACAAATCTTAAAAAAACACTGAATTTAAGTAACAAACCAACATTAAGCACAGATATATGCATTACCATTTATATGTACACCTTCTACTAAAAAAAAATCAAGTCTATTTTAACCACATGCAATGAGAATAAGAAAAAGGAATTAAACATATCTAAATCTTATTGCTTCTGCTTATTAAACTTCACTGGAATTCTAATGTGAAATATGCCTGCCATGTTGAGATAGTGCCTGTGCAATGTTTTCAGAGAACAGCAATATTTCATCTCTTAGAACAGAATGCTGTCCCTCCTTACGGCACTGTAGGGTACAAACCAAGATCCCGTGGTTATCTGGGAAGTGAACAGATCTGACTTGGCACAGATCGGCTATTTCACTACAGTTTTATGACTCTCCACATTAATGATCCTTGTCCAACTTTGAAGATTCAAGTACATACAAAAAGCAACAATCCAAACATCCACATGTACAAAGAAATCCTTTGAAATGCTTGAATTCTTTTCTATCCATGAAGAAGATTTTAATTATTTACAACTCCCCAACACACATACACACACACACACAGACACACGGATTTCTACTGGCACAAATAGGTACATCATTAGTAAGTGGTGACAGGTCATGTTAAAGCTCAATACTTTTGTCATAAATATTGGTACCAAGGGGAAGAGCTATAAAGAGGAATGTGTTCTATAGAGACTACAGAATAAATTAGTCTAGTAAACCAAAAGCTGAATCTGAATATGCATTAATAAACCAAAACATATAAAAATGATGCGAGATGGACAGATAAAAATACAAGCAATGAGTATAAATGGCTAAATTTAAAACAGCACTTTTAAAAAAATTGTATCACTCTTGTGATGAGGAATAATGCTTCAGAGCAGGTATTACATTGTGATAAAACTCTGTAAAGCTCTATGTTGACAGGATTTAAAAAATGCATTTAGAAAAAAAAGCATTTTAAAAAAAATCCCTATATAAAAGCTAGGCAAAGTGACAGTGGACTGATGTTCATTTAGCTTTTGCAAATGGAAAACCTAAATATTAAGGGCAGGATGGAGACCCTCTGTCTTGACTGAGGAATATAATCTATGCTGTAGAAGTACATAATCACCACAATGATGTCTTAAGCTTGACTGCACAGTTTAAATTTAAAAGAAGGTTAAAAGAAGGCTGCCAGAAAGAAACCCAGGATATCAAGTAACAAGAACTCACACTAGATTAATTAACTGAATTCAGCCTATAAAAATGGGAAAGATGAGATCTGTCATTTCTGAGAATGAATGCAAGGGAGCAGCTTTGCTTGTTATTATGGCAAATGGAGGTTGGTAAAACAACCTTAGAAAGAGACAGAGAAGGAAGTACCTATATTAAAATCACAGCTATATGAAGGCTGTGTTTATCTCATTAAAGAGTTTAAATTTAGACTGCAGTAAGCATGCCCCATAGTATTAAAAATTGTGGAAAGACAAATAAATGTAAATACTGAAACCCAAAGTAAATAATTCTCTCCATTTTAATAAAGCCAAAGCAAAAATTTACATATGACCCATGACACCAATGCTCAGCAGGAGTCAAATGAAGATGTTATTGTATTCATCTACATATAAATCAGAAACTGCTGATTCTACTACGGTTTCAAAAAGCATAGAAGGAATACTTTAAAGTAGAAGTATAACAAATGCTGGTTAAAACAAATATCAGGCATCTTTCATGATAGTAAGCATAGAAGGAATTTAGAGATGGGAACAAAAAGAAAGCCATAAAACCTGGGGATCTTTATTTCTTATGAGCCTTCATAATTTTTATTTTTAAGATTCCTACATGTCATACCAATGTAGTAGCCATCACGCTGTGCATTCTTGAGTAATTCTGCACACCTGTGTCTCATATCATTATTTCTGAACCATCATCATCCACCTATTAGTAGATGATGTTTCTTGCCTTGATGATAAGAACATTTAAGACATTGTCAATTTTCTTAAACTCTTTTCTCCCTTGGTTAATTTTTAATGTCTATATATTTTTACTCTGTGTATGGAAACTTAAGGTCCTATATTAGTTCATGTTCAGGAACTTAGATAAAACTAAGAATGCTTTTTCAAATATTTTCAGGGTATTTTCCATCATTTTCTTTTCAAACAATGTGGCTTAAAGACATCGATTTTCCTCTGTTGTCAGCAATCATTTCCATCTAGGATGTTGGACTAAATGACCTCCTGAGGTTCTCTTACAGCTTGAATTATCCTATGATACCATGAACTAGGAGCCTATTTCATCAACGTGAAGCATGCCAATGAGGAGTCATTTTTAAAATTAGAAATTTTTCACTTTCATTTGAGTATCTTTCACTTCACCACTTAAACTCCCATGCAATATAAGTCGGAAACACGCAACAAAATGGGTGGTGTTTTATAAGAAGCCCGGGCTAAAATTAAAACACACACTTGATACCAATACACTGATGGGAAAGCAAAAAATAATGCCTTACTCCTTCAACAGTGTCATCCAAAACATAGCCCCATACTAGCCACCATGAAGAAAATTCACCCTATCCAAGACAAAACCAGCAGAAACAGTTACATGCTTTTTAAAATGAAGAATAGCACTTGTCTGTAGAAATAAAAAAGCACATTGCTAGCACACCAAAGGTTTAAAACAATTACCAAACAATTTAGTGGGCAGTAATGAAACAACCTGGGACGAATTTTGCTGCACAACACCTCTGAGCAATCTGACACTATACTTAAAATTAATTGGTAGGAAGTTTTTAGACACAAATCTTCTTCTGTTAAAATTGTATAAATTAGGAACTTCAGTTTGGCCCCTCACAGATTCCTACCTTTTTTGATGCAACTCAATTATACAAGCTTTGGAAATATTATACACCTACTAAGTGCTAAAATCACATTAGTTTTCTGGTAAATAAAAGGGAACAACAGTGCAGTACTGTTTCCATGAGGGCTCAAAGGCTCTAAGGCTGGGATTAATATGCTTCTTTGGAAAAAAAAATTCTACAAAACTTAAAAGCAAAGGGCAAATGCACTTACAGTGTTGGCAAGTTCTAAGTAGCTTCCTCCAACAGAGTTGCTAAAAGTTGAGGCCTGAGCTAGAAGTCTTTGCAGAGCAGCCTGTTGAGTCATATTGCTTCCACCATACTCCAACACCTTTTGTAGCGTAAAATGACTATGGAGGTCCGGACTCTGAAGGTCTCTTGCTCCTGAATCATATTCCCAGCTTTCTCTGGCTCCTGATAAGGCACCTAAAAGGCAGAAATGGAAAAACATTCTAGTATGGACTGTGTATAAAGAACACACAGAATCACAGAATATCTCAAGTAGGAAGGGACCTGTAAGGATCATCGAGTTCAACTCCCTGCTCCTCAGAGGACTACCCAAAACTAAACCACATGACTAAGATCATCATCCAGATACTCCTTGAATTCTCCCAGGCTTGGTGCCATGACCACTTCCCTAGGGAGTCTGTTCCAATGACCGACCACCACCTCAGTGAGGAACTTCTCCCTAACACTGAATCTGAACTTCCCCTGACACAGGTTCATTCCCTTTTCTCATGTCCTGCCACTGGTCACCAGAGAGATGAGATGAGCACCTCCTCGGTCACTGCCCCCTCTGAGGAAGCTGTAGACTGTTAAGGGGTCACACTCAGCCTTCTCTTCTCCAAGCTGAACAAACCTAGTGACCTCAGCTGCTCCTTCTAAGTCTTGCCCTTGAGATCTCTCACCATCTTGGTGTCTCTCCTCTGGACACACTCCTCTAGTTTGATGCCCTTTTTTTGTTGAGAAAATACACTGTTAACACATTGTCAGAGACTGAAATGGTTAATGATTTATGCATTCCAGGAGTTTGCAGGCTTTTGACTTTTGCATTATACCTCTGATGGGCAGCTGGGCCTGCCCCTCCCTCCAGTGAAGAGACAAGCTTGCAGGCTTTTGACTTTTGCCTTACACCTCTGATGGGCAATTGGGCTATCCCCCCCCGCCAATCTTGAAAGGCGGGAACCAGGCCAGACTCAGAAACTCTGCGCAGGCCCAGGGAGAGGTTAGAGGCTCGAGACACGGCCTGTGACACTAACCATGGATATAATAACTCATAACTTCATGGAGTGTGAGGGCTTCCCTCCTTCACCCCCAGCAGATCAAGGCCACCACTTCAACCGACAGACGTGGAAGCGGCAACTACCAAGTGTCATTGCTGGACCCCGTGGGTGGTGACTATATGCATCTTTCCACTCTCATATTTTCTTTCCCTTACTCTCCCTTACCCTTACCCTGTCCTTCCTTTCTCTCCCTTATGCATTTTCCCACCCCGAAGTTATCCCTATGCCATATTGCTATAAATGATATAGATGATAACACCCCAAATGCTAGCATGTCTATTGATACAAAATTGTTAAAATAAACCTTACCAATATATGTTTTCAGAGACCGATTATTCAGTGTCGTTTCACTCTAATCCACCCCAAGGGAATTATTGATAAAAACCTGAGTTACCCCCCCTCCCCTTTTCCTGGGGCGGGTCGTAACACACATGAACCCTACTTGTTGTTTCAAAAATTAAAAAAGCAAACAGGTCCACCACCATTATTGCCTATCTTGCACATGCCAACAATGTCAGAAAAAAAAAGAAATTAAGATTTCCAATACACAGATGATTTACTAAATTATAAGATCCAGAAGGAAAAATAAAAGCATTTGCCTATGTTATTTAGTACAGTGCAAAACCAGTGTAATTTACAATTGCGAAGGACCATTGAATGAGTATGTTACTATGTGAAATTGAAAAGCAGCACTGATCAAAGAGCAAAAGAGGAAAAACATAATTCGCCTCTTTTTGTTTACCAAATACCAACACACTAAGTGAATCTTTTAGCTGTATAGTTCATCACTTTTTATGTTAGCATTGCCTTTCTTATTAACTCAGGCTTGCTTGTTTCAGTTCAAGTTTCAGACATATCAATCACAAGGTGTTATAAATTGATGCCATAAGTGACAGACAATGAATGCTACAAGAAACTTTCTGTATCATGAAGCTGTAGGGTTGCTGTTTCTGCACGTATAATCCTTCCAATTCCCTACAGTCAGAGATGGGTTTAAACCATAAAACAAATAGAAGGAAATTTTCTTATTTTGTCAGTTATTATTTCATCCCTGGGTGCTTCTGATTCTCATAAAACAGACCTTTTAAAATCTTGTTAAATTTTAGATTCAACCACTTCCTATGGCAAAATATTCCACAGTAGGCACTAGATTATTTAATAACCCTGGGCAGTACTGTAAATTTTCATATATAGCATAATGAAGATTAAAAACAAATAAGTGACTTGTTCAAGCACACACTCTAAGTTAATAGAAAAGTCAGAACAGAATCCAGAGCTACAGACTAGATCAAAACTCTAAATCCAACATGCAATCGTCAAACCATGAGCAGTTAGTTGTCTGTAATGCCATCCTATTATTTTGAAAGCTTTTCCCTTTCAGGAGCTAGTTTTCTCTCTCAAATATTACCCAGCATCCTGAGTGCTTACTAATCAGTGGTCATTATTTATTCACTACTGTCCTGGTTAGAACGGCTGGGACCAATTCATCCCTGGATGGGTGTAACCCAAAACTGTGTATTCTATAGCCTCCATGCCATTTCCCAAAAACTGCTGTCAGTAGAGGCCTGCAAGGTGGGAAGATGTTCCTGTACCCTTTTATGGAATTCCCTGCTCTGATATCCTTATATGGAATTCCCCGCTCTGATACCCTTATATGGAAGAGGGACTGAGCATCCGCATGCCCTTTTATGGAATTCCCTACTCTGAGGGAGGGACTGAGCACTCCCGCCTGAACTGGAGAGTATATAACTGGGAGTTTCAGAGCCTTGCCACCTCTCGTGGGATCCAGAGGAAGACTGAGACCACCGCCTTCAACCAGACTGAGACCACCACCCTCGACTGGACTGCAATCATCACTTCTGACCAGACTGCAGCAGCTCTCCCACCAGCAGGTTTATCCCCTCTCCCTTTGCTTTGGACTCGGGGGTGGGCCAAGGTACACCACTTTTGTTCATACCCCAGGGTGCTGAGTTACACATTTGGGTTTTGTGGGTTAAAACCAATTGCCTGTCTGTATAATTGTACTTATTGCATTATTTTAATAAATTGTTATTCTGACTTATAAATCTCTCTTTTGAATTGAGTTCATTTTCCCTTGCTGGTTAACTTTTAAACCAGCACAACTACATTACAGGGAGAAACAATAAACTATATAATGAACTATTAGGAGAGTGTCTCCTCCTCACCAAGGAAGTTGAAGATGCAAAAATGCAAACAGAAAACTAGCTAGAAGGGAAGCAAGGCAGCAACTGATCTTCTGCTTCAGGTCAACACCCTAACACCCTGTGAAGCTGTTATGCATGAAAAACCAACTTAGGTTTCCCTGCCTTACTGTAAGGCAAATACAGTAGTCTTGAAAGATGTAAGTAGAAAATAACACACAACAAAAAATAATTACATTTTATACTAATATAATTACCATGATTCCTTACCACAAGTACAAGTAGCAATTAAAGATTAATTAAATTACTTTTACACCAAGAGCATGCACCATTGAACTGCATACAGCTACATGCTGCAGAATCTCCAGCAGACCTGACTTGAGATGTGGGTACCAGCAGTATTTTACACAGTGGGAAGTGCACTATGACTATGCACAACCTTAGGTATGTCTGCCCTCGGGTGGCTACAGCAGAGCAAAAAGCTCAGCAGCCTACAGAGCTGAAGCAACAGAAGCGTCTCAGGCTTCCACAGGAGGCAGAGGATCAGTTCCATCACTTCCAGGCTTGACAAGAACGTGGGAAACAATCCTGTCTGGGCAAGCATAGCCTCAGAATTAAGAGAAGTGGTTATATCATATAGATATCCCTCTATTCACAGAGCTAAAGATGGCACATATTTCAACAGAGTACATGCACCACATTTCTATTACAGAAAAAACTGTTCTGCAAAAGAGCTTTCACATTTACACAATTAACAACCACTTTATTGAAGACCCAAGTAGCTCTCATAGATTGTGCCACCTGCCATCAGATAAGAAGCACTTAAAACACTCAGCTGGCACAGAAGTCACCTGTCAGTCACAGTGGATCAGGAAAGATTGGGTTTTTATTACAGTATTGTGACCATCTTTAACCCAAGCTTTCTTAAAAGTTCATCTCTTTACCCCTAATTTAAAACATACATACTAAAAAAGGAAGGAGAGATGACTTTTACAAAGGAAGGTATTTCCAGTACTTTATTTTGGGCTTAAGCACAATCCCTAAATTTGCCCACTGTGTTCCCAACAAATTCCAGAACTCTGGCTGCTAAGATGCTGTCCTGGATTACACACCTTTCAAGACTCAGCTTTGCAGGGAAACTCTGGAATTGTCAGAACTGAGATTTCACTTGTAACTGAAAATTCAGTCAGGCACGAACAAACAGCTCTTCTATCTTGCTGTGATTAGCATACAATTCTTGCCTTTACAATAGTAAACAGAAATAAGCCATAATTAGATATAATGGCACACAGCTGATAGCTGATAACTAGGAACCTAAAGCTAATAAATCTGTGTTCAAGATTAGTCTTTATAGAACTACACATTTTTCTCTGTTCATCTGCACTTCTATGAATAATATGAAACTTAAAATTTCTGTATTAAATGAAACAAAATTATTACTACCACTATTAAAAAGAAAGAAACAAACAAAAAAATTAGCCTTGTTTCAGCCAAGTAATATAAGACTATATAATTGTTTTCAAATTATATAAGTAACATTTCAATTCCAGATTAAGAAAGCTAAATCAATCCCTTCTGGACTGAGTGGATACACTGGACTTCGGTAAATGTGTAGTATAAAGGCTTCTGATTCTACACAAGCTTCTATACAACTAGTCCTTTAGTGACTTCCTAGTATTACCAGCACTTGACTATATTGATTGTAACTGATAATGGGTGAAATTCATGTTATAGCAAGCATTCAGTACCTAACAGGAACTTTTATTTCTATTCTTTTGTAGAGTAGATCAGTAGAGCATTTAAGTATATGTGGGTCCACTAATTGCAGTCAAATCAATCACAGTAGGACAACCAAAATCTTGTCTGAAACATTTACTCAAAGAATTTTTCCTTCTGCAGGTTTTCCTGTTATAGAACCATAGAATGGTTTGGGTTGGAAGGGACTTTAAACACAGTAGGCAGGGACACCTTCCATTAGACC